CTCAGCCATAAAAAGGAACGAAATTGGGTCACTTGTAGAGACGTGGATGGATCTAGAGACTGTCATACAGAGTGAAGTAAGTCAGAAAGAGAAAAACAAATATCGTATATTAACGCATATATGTGGAACCTAGAAAAATGGTACAGATGAACCGGTTTGCAGGGCAGAAATTGAGACACAGATGTAGAGAACAAACATATGGACACCAAGTGGGGAAAGCAGTGGGGGTGGTGGTGTGATGAATTGGGAGATTGGGATTGACATGTATACACTGATGTGTATAAAAGGGATGACTAATAAGAACCTGCTGTATAAAAAAATAAATAAAATTCAAAAAAAAAAAATCTCGATTCCAGGTTGACCAAAAGAAAAAAAGCTGGGATTCCCTGGTGGCACAGTGGTTAAGAATCCGCCTGCCAATACAGGGGATATGGATTCCATCCCTGGTCCGGGAAGATCCCACATGCTGCAGAGCAACTAAGCCCATGCACCACAACTAGTGAGCCTGTGCTCTAGAGCCCACGAGCCACAACTACTGAGCCCGCATGCCACAACTAATGAAGCCCACGCACCTAGAGCCCGTGCTCTGCAACAAGAGAAGCCACAGCAATGAGAAGCCCGTGCACCGCAACAAAGAGTAGCTCCCGCTCGCTGCAACTAGAGAAAGCCCATGTGCAGCAATGAAAGCCCAACTCGGCCAAAACTAAATTAATTAATTTTTTAAAAAGTTAGTAACATATCCATCAATGTTTTCAGATTGCAGCTACTTATTCACAAGAAAAAACAAAGATGTCTGGATGACAGGAGGAAGAGTGAGGCCTTGGACCTCAGTGAGGGGGCAGCGACAGTCGTGTAGAAGCCAAGCCCAGCACAGACTGATGAGCCACCTTTGTTATTTTTTAAAAGGCTATTTTCACTTAATGTTCAGAGCCATTCAAAAGGACCAATGTAACTTTTGGTATTTGTCATGGAGTAAACCAGAAATGACAAAGTTGCTGAAACTTTATGGGAACAAGCCAGAGAATTCAAAGTAGCCCACACAAAATCCTTCCTCAGTAGCATCCTAGGAACCTTCAAAGGGATGAGGAGCAGGTGCTATATGAAATCCATGCCTCGTCACCTGGGCCCTGATCTGCAGGAGGCAGATCTGTGGCCCCCACTTCCTCTTTCTCCTGCAGCTTAACAGGGGCCATTTAATGGCATCTCAACCCGAGGATTTTATGTCAGTTTATGTCATTTATGTCATTTGAAGAACCGTCAAAGGTATGGTGAGAGAAAGCTGAAAATAACTGGCTTGCAAGTGATTTTCATTTTTGTTGTTGTTTTGGGATTTTTTTGGCCACGCCGTGCCGCGCAGCATGTGGAATCTTAGTTCCCCAACTAAGGATCGAACCCGCGCCCCCTGCATTGGAAGCATGGAGTCTTTTTTTTTTTTAACATCTTTATTGGAGTATAATTGCTTTACAATGGTGTGTTAGTTTCTGCTTTATAACAAAGTGAATCAGCTATACATATACATATATCCCCATATCTCCTCCCTCTTGCATCTCCCTCCCACCCTCCCTATCCCACCCCTCTAGGTGGTCAAAAAGCACCGAGCTGATCTCCCTGTGCTATGCGGCTGCTTCCCGCTAGCTATCTGTTTTACATTTGGTGGTATATATAAGTCCATGCCACTCTCTCACTTTGTCCCAGCTTATCCTTCCCCGTCCCCATGTCCTCAAGTCCATTCTCTACATCTGCGTCTTTATTCCTGTCCTGCCCCTAGGTTCTTCAGAACCATTTTTTTTTATATATTCCATATATATGTGTTAGCCTACGGTATTTGTTTTTCTCTTTCTGACTTACTTCACTCTGTATGACAGACCCTAGGTCCAACCACCTCACTACAAATAACTCAATTTCGTTTCTTTTTATGGCTGAGTAATATTCCATTGTATATATGTGCCACATCTTCTTTATCCACATTCATCTGTTGATGGACACTTAGGTCGGGAAGCACGGAGTCTTAACCACTGGACAGCGAGGGAAGCCCCTCGCAAGTGATTTTTGGATCATGGGGGAATTTTCATTTTCTGTGCAAACCTTATAAAACTTAGCGGTCTCTACTACCGCTGTTACAGCTAAAGTCCACCGAAACAATCAACAGGCTTCTTTGTATTTATTTATTTTTGGCTGCATAGGGTCTTCATTGCTGTGCGCAGGCTTTCTCTAGTTGCGGTGAGCAGGGGCTACTCTCCATTGTGGTGTGTGGGCTTCTCAGTGTGGTGGCTTCTCTCGTTGCGGAGCACAGGCTCTAGGCACACAGGCTTCAGTAGTTGTGGCACACGGGCTTCAGTAGTTGTTGCACATGGGCTCAGTAGTTGTGGCGCACGGGCTTAGTTGCTCTGCAGCATGTGGGATCTTCCCAGACCAGGGCTCAAATCTGTGTCCCCTGCATTGGCAGGCAGATTCTTAACCACTGCACCAACAGGGAAGTCCCTTCTTTGTACTTTTTAAGGCACCCAACTGAACAAAACATTAATGGCAGAGGTCTTCACCTAAAAACCCAAAGGTTGTCAGGGAAAAAAAATCATCTCCTGGATTCAAAATGAAGGCTTCTCCTCATCACAAGTTAAAAAACAACAACAACAAAAAAAACTATATTTAAAGTAATAACATCAACCATTACAATAATAATTACAACAAACAAACTTTGAGTATCTACCATGTGTCAAAACTGGAAATTCAGACATGGATAAACCAGAATAAGGCTATTTGGCAGAAAGGACATCTGATGACCACCCTAGACATCCTAGATTAATCACAATGTTTAGTCCTGGGATACCACCCACACCAACCAGCAGATCTGACCACATTGTTAGCTGATACATGGCCAAGGGATATGTAAGCCCAGCTTCATATCTAAGCCTTGGGAATACAAAAAAAAAAAAAAAAAGGGTAAATCTGCTAGGGAAATAAAGCCACTAAAAATGTAGCAGAAATGCTTTTGTCTCCTTTTATAATCAACTGTTTTGAACAGCCTGTTACAGATTCCTTCTTTTTTTTAAAATAAATAATTGAAGACTGATCAAAGAATCGAGTTCTTTGCCACAAGGCTCATATGGAAACCCAGAAAAAAATACTGTTTTTAAAAAGATTACCATCTACAGCAAACTTGAGATTTTAGTGTTCTTACAGATAAGTGTGATCCAGAATGTGATTAACTAAATGAACAGCATACTTTCATTAATTATTAATAATCACACGGTGTTACTTACCTTATTTTCAGTCTAATTTTGTTCACGACTTCATCGATGTTTGCCAGAGACTACAATAAAGAAGGAAAGGTGCCAGCTATTATTTCACTTCCTGGAATTCCTCTTTCCAGAGAAATGATGAACTATAATGGCTATTTATGACATCTCAAAGAAACTAATCACACGGTATGATACAATTTTCACTTAAAAATATATATATATAGGGAATTCCCTGGCGGTCCAGTGGTTAGGACTCCACGCTTCCACAGCAGGGGCATGGGTTCAATCCCTGGTCAGGGAACTAAGATCCCACAAGCCTTGCAGTGCAGCCAGGGTGGGAGGGCGGAGGAAGTATAGCGGTAGTTGGCAACAACTGCAAAATTCAGCCTGGAATCTATTCTTCATAAATAAAGGTTATTGGAAAACAGCCATGTCCATTCGTTTACATATTATCGACAGCTGCCTTTGAGCTACAAAGACAGAATTGAGTAGCTGCAACAGAGACTGAATAATCCATAAAGCCTAAAATTACTATCTAGACCTTTACAGGAAATTTCCTGACCCCTGGTATATAGGATCGTGACAAACTCGTACAACAAAATCCTCATAGCAACAAAAATGAATGAATGATTACAACAGACAACAACATGGATGAATCTTACTAATATGATGTTGCGTGCGCACACACACACATATACACAAACCAGACGCAAGAGCATATACTGTATGACTGCATTTATAGTATTTCAAAAGTGAGTGAAACTATTCTCCTGCATTAGAAGTCAGGATAGTGGTTAACTCTGGGGGAGGCAGTGACTGGGAGAGGCAAGAAGGGGCTACTTTATTAATGTTTTATTTCTTGGTCTGGGTGGTGGTTACCTGGCTTTACTCATTTGGTGAAAATTCATCAAGTTGTACATTTAGGATCTGTATACTCCTCCACATTATGTTAAACGTCAATAAATAAATACCTCTGTTTTTTTTCTAAGTGTCTAGGTCCATTAGAAAAAAGCCTGGAAGGATAAACACTAGTACTTAGAGTCTATATTAGTAGCTGTAACCTATGAAATCAGTAGCAGTAGTTGTAATCTATGAAGAAGAGGGATTTTAAGTTTTTCTTCTTTTTGCCTATGAGTATTTTCTAATTGCTCTATATTGACAATGCACTGCTATTGCAATTATAATACAGTTATTTCTATTTTTAAGACAATGACAATAAAAACAAATGGACTAGTACCAATTTAGTGAGCTGAAAACATGAGGAAAGGGTGCCCCCTAATGGAATAGAGATGGTACAATTTTATAGCACCATTTTAACTGAAGTTTTCAAAATATAATTTTGTAAGTCCTCTTTCCCTCTCTCCCGATAGATATTTTACCTCAGAAGGAACTGGGGGTGATGCAGGAATTGTGCTTATAAATTGCTACCGGCAACCTGTGCTGGCAGGAAGAGGCAGGAGCCTTCCAGGCACAGGTCTGATAAGAGAACCAGGTCACACATAAAACAAGATGAAACCTTGCCATTTATGACAAGATGGATGGACCTTGAGGGTATCAAGTGAAATAAATCAGACGGAGAAGCACAAATACTGTATGATTTCACTCATATGTGAAATATAGAAAACAAACAAACAAAAAAACAAAATAAATGAACAAGGGCTTCCCTGGTGGTGCAGTGGTTAAGAATCCACCTGCCAATGCAGGGGACACGGGTTCGAGCCCTGGTCTGGGAAGATCCCACATGCCACGGAGCAACTAAGCCCCTGTGCCACAGCTACAATGCAACTACTGCAATGTCCATGAGGTATATAGATGGATTTTGCCCAAGATTTAGCAATAGTTGAAAGAAACTGTAAATCATGCCCTTACTTTCTATTACCTTTTAATTAAGGTCCATGAGAATCTGGGTTGGAAAATGGTATAAATCTGGGGTTGGGGAAATAAAGGTACCCCTGTATCATAAATTTCCTGAATTACCTAAGAAACTTCCCTATACATCACCATGGATGTGGGGACATAATTAGACAAGACATATAACTGAATCTGTGGAACAACAAATGTCTTATGCTACCTTCAGTAGTTTAAAAACAAAAACCCACAAAAACTTATCAGGAAGAAGGGAGAACCTGGTGGTTCCCTATATACATAATTTTCAAATCTAACCATTTGTTGTGGTGAGTTAGCTGTCTTGATAGGCTGGGGTAAATTAAATCTTTTTGTGGCTAAAACTGCTATCTTTATACCATTGCTTCCAAATTTCTATCTCCAGCTAATTCCTAGAATTCGTCTTTCATAGAAAATGATGAGCTCTTAGGAATCCCCTGGCGGTCCAGTGGTTAGGACTTGGCGCTTTCACTGCCAAGCGCCCCGGTTCAATCCCTGGTCAGGGACTAATATCCTGCAAGCTGTACATGGTGCGGCCAAAAAAGAAAAAGATGAGTTCTAAAGGCTATCTGTGAAATCTCAGAAAAGACAATCACACAGTATGATACCATTTTTTCCAAATTTATTTTAAAAATCAGCATGTCCATCAGAAAACGTTCGGAAGGATATATGCCAAAATATTAACAGTTATGGCAATGATGGGCTCCAGTCTCAAATATCCAACTATGTATTTCTACCTGGATGGCCCAAATATGTTCAAAACTGAGCTCACCTTTACACCCTACTTCTACCCTCCTTACCACTAAAACTGGCCCTTTCCTCCTTACTCCCAGTACAGGATAAAGGGGCCAACACCACCCACAGTCTGCTGGGCTAGAAATCAAAGTTCTGAAATTTACATCTTGAAATAGGAATAAAAGTAGCTTTCTAAATCCAGGCTTATCCTGCCTACCTCATTCCCATTTTTCCCCTATTACATTCGAAAAATCCTTTCTACTTCCCAATTTACTACAGAAAATTGGGGGTCGGGGGGCAACAGGACAGACGCTTTCAACCTAAGGGTACGATTTCTAATAATATGCTCACTATACAGAGAATTCCACACTAACACAACAACAGTATTTGGTATTAGCTAACCCTCCCCCCCCCCCAAAGGAAAGCTGGTTACAACGGAGTCGAACTTGAATTTAACTCTCACTTGCTTATCAAGGTCCCTTAGATTATGTAGTATAACACATAATACATCATTAACATTCAGGATGAGCCAGAAGCCACTGCAAGAAGGAAACTCTATACTTACTTGCTCTGTTGGGAACAGGGTGTTGATATACTCCACAGCATTGAAATCTGCTCGATCTAGAGGATCCTGGCTTGGAAATACCTACATAAAGATAGAGAATTAAAAATCACCTATCTTTCTGCCTTGCTCTATGTATTCTTTCTTTCCTCCCTATTGGTTGGTAAGTTTTTTGAAGGCAAAGACCATAGCTTTTTTTCATTTTACGAGGCTTAACAACAACAGACGTGCAATAAAATATCTGGTAAAGTAAATCTGTAATTTTCACCAACATCTGTAATTTTAACATCTTGGTAAAACTAACAGAATGTGCAACAGTGAGAAGTTCCAGATATCCACGAAATCCCAAGGACAAGGTAAAATAAGTGGGCATTGTACACTATCAGATTAAGCCAGCGGATGACATGGTTGTATTAAGGGAATCTTGATAACAGACTTATTATACACCATGTCTCAGTGATGTCTCAGCAGTAGAATTCACTATGCATCAAAGCGATTATTATACTCAGCGTCAGGAAGTGGAGAGCTGCATTTAGGAACTGTCCATCTCTTTTACAGAAGAAAGCAAGCCGCCTTCTGAGAAATATAGTTAACTCCCTTCAAATGTTGCAATCTGAAGAACATGTATCAAGGTGGGTTGCAAAGCAGTTAAGTGATCCCCTGGGTACTAGATTTCACCAGCTCAAGGCAGTTATTCTGGGAAGCAAATTCTTTTTTGAGGTCTGCTTATTGGAGAAACCTGTGCTAGAATTCAATCTTACTAAGAAATAGGAAAAACTGTGCTCTTCTAAAACCCTTGCCAAACAATAACTGACTGCATTATTTGTTTCTTCTATTGGAGCCCACTAGGTCCAAAGGGAATGAAATGTATGTCTCTGGGAATACCCTGGCGGTCCAGTGGTTAGGACTCGTGCTCTCACTGCGGGCAGCCCAGGTTCAATCCCTGGTAGGGGAACTAAGATCCCACAAGCCCTGAGGCAAGGCCAAACAAACAAAAAACAAACGTATGTCTCTTTCTGGCAGATGGAGGTGGGTGGGAAGCAGTGTGGCTTGAACACCAAAACCTTTGCCTAATGGCCTGGCATCCTCAGGATCTGCCAAATGTGCTGTGAATGAGTAACCCAACCACTCCAAGGAAAACACATCTAAAAATCTATAAATGGGACAATACAAACAAATAACTTAGTACACTGGCAGACCCACAGTAAGTATTAATGGTCAATAAATATTAACTATCAGTAATAGAAGTAGTAATGTTTTACTTCAAAAAACTTCCCAGTGGTCATTAAGTATGGCTCACCTCTCCTTTTCCTAAGTCCCCTACACCAACTTCTTTAAGGGAGATTTTTCTCCCTTTATCAGGAGCGATACCCTGTACAAGGGTCTAAATTGCTATTTCTAATATCATCACTCTTAAAAACTCCATACACTTGAAAAGAGAATTTAGTCACCTAAAGAATTCCTGCAGGGAAGAGAAGCCACCTGGGAATATTCTTCAACCTAACCCAAATTAATCAACAGCAGGAATTCTCAACTAAGTATGGTAAAGGGTTTTTTGTTTTTTGCTTTTAACCTTTGCCCCTCTGCTTTGCGATATGCTTCAAAAATAGAGGTTACCTCCTCCCCTCAATTCCGAGTCACTCACAAGGGGCTAGATGGAGAATCCGGAACACTGTGACACCAGTCTGATAAATGAATGAACAGCCCCGCAACCCCCAAAACCTGAGGTTGCTACCTATGAGGTCCCTTTTTCTAGGTGCATCCTTTCAGGAGACACAGTTCCTTTGCCCAAACCCACCAGGACGCCCCACCCTCCAAAGACAATCAAGGCCTAGAAAAGATTCTCTCCCTCCTCTAGATTCAGAAACCCCTTCCCACCACCACCTCCCACCAAAACCTTTCCTTGCCCTTCTGCGCCTAGCTCCCACGTCTCCCACGAAGACCGCTTCCCCGGCGTCCCACCCCAGGTCCCACCCCCAGAGCTGCCCCAGCCTCCGCACTCTCCTCCCGTCGAGGGGCGGAACGCTCACCTGCTCGATGGCGAGCTGCACGTCGGGCGTGAGCTGCAGCACGGCTTCCAGCTCCTCCACGAACTCCAGTTCCTCCTCCTCCATCATCCTGCCGCCCAGCTCCCTCCCGGCGCCCACCCCTTCCCCGAGCCGCACGTCCTGCAGCCACCCACGCCCCAGAACAGCAACCCTCCAGCAGCAGCGCTCCAGCCAGCCTGGGCTCTGTCACCCAGTCGGGCACTTCCGGGAAGCCAGGCACTTCCGGGATCCGGGGCATTCTGGGATAGCGGAGGACTGACCTCTGGTCCCAAGGAGGAGGTGTTTCTGTCACCTCCCGGAGTCTCCCTGGACAACCCTGTAGTCCGGCGGCCCCCACCTGCCCTCACCCCTCCTTAAGATGGTGGGGACCCGCTTCACCTCGCCGAAGGCGCCCTCCCCACTTGGGCCCTGGCGCTGGGGAGGACCCGGCCGCTCCGGCAGGACCCCCCAGTGAGGGTGCGCCCCACCACCGTCGCGATCGAATGACAGCAACTCTCACGGGCCGCGAGGCCGGCGATCCTTCTCAGGGGCCCCTTGCTCAGTGGCAGTAGGTGTCCCCCCAGCCATCGGGGGAGAAATGACCCCAGCTGGTAAGTGGCGATGTTGCCAAGGACAATTTGTAGGATGGGAATTTGTCCACTTGACAAGAGTTAAATTCCCCGTGTGCCAAGCTTCTAGGCAGCATTTTCTGGGGGCGTCCGCACCCAGGGGCCCCTTGCTCAGTGGCAGTAGCGGGGGCGGGGAAAAAGATCCAGATTAGGCAGTGACCCGCCCTGGGGAAATGTTGACTTTCTCAGACTGAGTAGCTAGAGTCGAAGTCACGGTCCACGAATGATGAGCTGTGTGATCTTGAACAAATTACTACATCGGCCCTGCTTACCCTGCAAGGATGTGGCGAGAGAGAAAAATTTAAATTGCTATGCAAGTTTAAGCTAATAATACAGGTAATATGAGTGTGTCTAGCCCTTATGTACCACAAAGGAAAAAGCCAGGTCACCCTGTGGAACCACTTTTCCTCCAGACACAATGAGATAATTGCAGACAAGGGAAGAGTTGTTTTATCAGTTAAACATGATAAAACTCCATGATGAAGTGTCCCTGGCCCCAATGAGCTTTTTTTTTTTTTTTAAATCAAAATTGTGGTTAAAAAAAGATGGGAGCAATATAATTTCTAACAGTAAAGGAAGGCTTAAAAATATAAATTGGTTACATAATAGAATATTACTGACTCAAAATCATGGTTTTTGAAAATTATTTAATGACATGGGAAAATGTGCATAATATATTTCAGAAAGCAAAAATATACAGCATGGTCCCAGTTTACATGTGTGTGTATTTTGTGCCTATAAAAATTATAGCAAGAAATATTACTTTTCTGCAGGTGATGGAATGTATTCTTTGCACATTTTCCCAAAATGTCTATGAGCCTGTAGCATTTTCATAATCAGAAATATAAATGCCTTTTTTTTTTTTTTTTTTCTTTGCGGTACGCTGGCCTCTTACTGTTGTGGCCTCTCCCGTTGCAGAGAACAGGCTCCGGAAGCGCAGGCCTAGCAGCCATGGCTCACGGCCCCAGCCGCTCCGCGGCATGCGGGATCTTCCCGGACCGGGGCACGAACCCGAGTCCCCGGCAGGCGGACTCTCAACCACTGCGCCACCAGGGAAGCCCATAAATGCCTTTTTTTTTTTTTAAAGGAAATGATAATTTTATCCATCTGTCTTGGATGTTTTTCATTTTTTATATACAGTAAGAAATAATTTATATACAGTAAAATCCACCCATGTCGTTTAGAATGCCGTGAGTTTTAATAAATGCTTATAGTCATGTAACCACTGTCACAATCAAATCCTAGGACAGTTCCATCATCCCCCCCCAAATTCTCTCATGCCCCACCTCATCCCCTGGCAACCACTGACCAGATTTCTGTCCCTATAGTTTGACTTTTCCAGAATATCATATAAATGGGATCATACAATATGTCACCTCTTGAGTCTGGCTTCTTTCACTCAACATAATACATTTGTATATCATCCATGTCGTTGCATGTATCAGTAGTTTATTTCTTCTTGCTGAGTGGTAATCCACTATCTGGATATACCACAGTTTGTTTATCCATTCCCTGGCTGAAGGACATTTGGGTTGTTTCTAGTTTGGGGCAATTATGAATAAAACTGCTATAAACATTCATATGCAGGTTTTTGTGTGAACATAAATTTTCATTTCACTTGGGTAAATATGTAGAAGCGGGATTGTTGGGTTGTATAGTAAGTCAACTGTTTTCCAAAGTGGGCTATTATCATTTTCGCATTCCTGCCAGCAATGGATGAGCGTTCTGGTTGCTCACAGCACTTATATTTAATGATGATAATAATGGCTCACATTTCTAGCCCTTACTATATGCCAGGCACCGTGCTAAGTATACACTGTTTCAATCTACAGGGCAGTTCTGAGGTTGGCAGTTATTATCGTCATCTGCTCTTCACAGATGAGAAAATTGGGATGTAGTTAAACACTAACAAAAAACGTTCCCAAGGTTCCATAACCAACTCTTCCTGCCATTCACTCATTCATTCAATAAATTTATTGAATGAATGAATGCATGTTCCTGCTGGCAATAGGCACTAGGCCAGGTGCTGGGACTTCAGCAACCGACAAAATAGACCAAGTACCTGCCTCCACGGAACTAGTTCCAGGTATGAAAAGGGTATTCATACAAATAAGCAAAGAATTGTGTTAGGTCTAATGAAAGACAAGTAAAGCATACTATGGAAGACGATATTGATAGAGTGCTCTGATTGTATGTGGGGGGTCAGGAGAGGCTTCTTTGAGGAAGTGACTTTTAAGCTGAAGCAAAGGGTGGGGTGTGAACAGGAGATGACAGACGAAAGGAACAGTATATGCAAAAGCCACGATGATAGAAGAAATTGGCCAGGGTGATGGGACTTTCAAAGCCGAGGGGACAATGGAACAAGAGGCCGAAGAAATTGGCAGTGCCAGATGGTGGAGACTCTTGAAGGTCATTTGAGAGATGGGAAGCCTTTGAAGGATTGTAAGCAGAGGAGTGACAGGACCAGCTTCACCAGGCCTGTCATCAGCCCTAGTCCCCTCATTTTTGTTTTCTCTGCTTCCAAGTGGCCCACAATGTCATGGAGAGTCATGATACCAGGATGACCGTCTCCAATACAAAGTCATGCTGTCCCATTGCCACTGATTGTCCTTTTACAAGTCCCTTGTCAACTCTCATTGCATTCCCCCTGCAACCCAAACCTTTCCCTATGCTGAAGCTCCCAACTCCATTATCCCCCTTCTCCCTATTTCCAGATAAGATAATAATAATGAATATAAGTTTGGGTTTAAGAGAGTTACATGGTACAAAAGTTTAGGAAGATAAAAGAGCAGAGAGATAGGTGGACATCAGGTGAAGAAAACTGCATTAAATAGTAATAGGCTAGGGCTTCCCTGGTGGCGCAGTGGTTGAGAGTCCGCCTGCCGATGCAGGGGACACGGGTTCGTGCCCTGGTCCAGGAAGATCCCACATGCCGCAGAGCGGCTGGGCCCGTGAGCCATGGCCGCTGAGCCTGCGCGTCCACAGCCTGTGCTCTGCAGCAGGAGAGGCCACAACAGTGAGAGGCCTGTGTACCGCAAAAAAAAAAAAAAAAAAGTTTTATGTCCTAAATATAATATTGTTCAAGATTCGATAGCTTCCTCCACCCCAATCCCCCTTGGAGATTCGTTGCTTTGAGAGATCACTCCCACAGCCATCTCTAGTCTCCACATCTTTTCTGTCCACACTTGGCTTTCTCTCCTTAGTGTCAGTCACACATTTTCAAATGCCTGTGAAAATCTTCACTTTGCTTATCATCAGTTTCTCTTTTTCTTTGCCCTCACTGCCCTAGCCTAAGCACATTTATCTGTTGGGTTTAGAGTTTAGCATTTGGTGGAGAGGCACTCCAGTAGTGCAATCAGTTAGCGCCCGGGGTACTTATACAGAGTTTTACGGGCAGATTTAATCCACTACACCAAATGATAGCAAATGGTTTCAGGGACTAATACAATATAGTGCATTTACATAGTACTTTAATGAACAGTTTAAATGTTTTCATATATGTTATTATCATTATCTTGGCCAGAAGGCTTGTGCGATCCTAGTTCCCTGACCAGGGATTGAACCCAGGACCCCTGCAGTGGAAGCTCGGAGTCCTAACCACTGAACCACCAGGGAATTACACATATATGTTATTTCTTTTTTTAAAAAAGTTTTTAAATTTTATTTATTTTTGGCTGCATTGGGTCTTTGTTGCTGTGCGTGGGCTTTCTCTAGTTGTGGTAAGCGGGGGCTACTCTTCATTGCAGTGTGCAGGCTTCTCACTGCGGTGGCTTCTCTTGTTGCGGAGCACAGGCTCTAGGCTCGTGGCCTTCAGTCGTTGTGGCACGTGGGCTCAGTAGTTGTGGCTTGCTGGCTCTAGAGCGCAGGCTCAGTAGTTGTGGCGCGTGGGCTCAGTTGCTCCACGGCATGTGGGATCTTCCCGGACCAGGGCTTGAACCCGTGTCCCCTGCATTGGCAGGCGGATTCTTAACCACTGCGCCACCAGGGAAGTCCTGTATATATGTTATTTCTTAGACTTCTCCATAGTTCTTGACGTAGGTGGGACAGTAGGGTGAGAAGCCAAGGTCAGGCAGCTAAGTGCTGGCCTGCTAAGATGACACCAAAGTCTGTTATGTTCAACTGTTTTTGCTCTTAATGCCTCTCAAACCTACCTGAGCCAGGTCCTGTTACAGCATTACATATAAAAATCAAGGCCATTAGTTTTCAACAGCTTATGTGACACTTGCACACTTTAAAAAATGATGATTCCTCAAAAGTATGTTAAATGAATGTCATTTCTTTTTTTTTTTTTTTTTTTTGGCCATGCTGCACAGTTTGCAGGATCTTAGTTCCACGAACAGGGATTGAGCCCGGGCCCTTGGCAATGAGAGCGCAGAGTCCTAACCACCTGACCGCCAGGGAAGTCCCTGAATGTCATATTTTTTTACATATTACCTTTCATATAATTTTCAAGGCAGTGTGCTTTATCAGATTTCTAACTATAGTTTTCAAAACACTCATACACTTGTACAACACGGGAAAATGTAAAAGTCATTCTTAATTCACCTCACCCCACAGACACAAAACCGACACACGCCCATACACACTTCTCTCCCCACACTGTTAGTCT